CTGCCTCGCCCAGGAAGAGCACAATGATGGTGCCAACTTGGGCCAGTGAAGCAACATCCTCCACAACTAGACTGAAGAATAAAAGGACAGCAACTTGTCTGTTCCCATCCCCCAATTCCCCAATAAAAAATCTTAAAAAAAAAAAAAGAAAAAAAAGATATATGCTTAAGGATGAAGGTGGGAAAGGATGCATAAAATTAAAATGTGTCAGTGTGAAATGGATGATTATCCTTTTTCCCAAATTTTCATAAATATATTGTTTTTATAGTTCAAAATTACTATAAATGTATCAACATGGCCAGTACTTCAACTATCTTGTCAGTGCAGAGGTGGAAAATTCTGCATTTTTACATTGCTGTAGTACTTCAGGATTAACTCAGGCCCCACCCATCTGTAGGGTCTTAGAATGAAACACTGAAGGCTTAGGAGATAAGGAACATGTTAGTTCTGACAGCCCAGCACCATCCCTTCTCCTTGGGGAAATGCTCCTCACTACCCTCTACCCCGTGAGGTGCCAATGAGGCTATCAGTTACAGTATCTGCCCTCTTCCCTGCACCAAACAAACAAAAACAAGGAAGACAATGACCCAAGATGGACCAATGCAAGTGCTGCATTCTCTTGACTATTGGCTAAGAAGTAGGATGTGACCTGAGCTGGGCCAATCAGAGTTCCTCCCTGAAACTTGCTGAATTGGAAATAAAGGGAAGTTCTTTCTTTCCTATTGGGTCAGGAACTATAAGGATGTGACCTCAAAAATGTTAGCATTAGGCCAGCTGAGTGGCGCGTTGGTTAAGAGCTGGCTTGGGACGCAGGCTCTGAGCAGCAGGGCCCCAGTTTGGATCCCACATGAGGGCCAGTGACACTGCCTTCTACAGCTAAGATGGTGAGCAGCAGCTCGACCTGGAGCTGGGGCCATGAGTCGCCAGCGATGGCATAGGCTGCAGCCCCTGCTGCAATGGGCTGCCATAAGCTACCGTGTGTGGTTGGCAGCCAGCATGAGCAGCCGGCAGCTGGTGTGAGCTGCTAAGAGCCGCTGGGAGCGGCCACCCAGAGGCCAGCGACCGATCTGCCTCACCCGGGAAGAGCGCAATGATCTTGGGCCAGTGAAGCGATGTCCTCCACAACTAGACTGAAGAACAAAAGGACAGCAATTTGTCTGTTCCCCTTCCCCCGACTCCCCAGCGCTGTTCCCCTCCCCCAATTCCCCAATAAAATCCTAAAAAAAAAAAAAGTTAGCATCCTCCTCCACCCACCACATGGAAAATTCTGAAAGAATGAGGCACTGTTACTAGACAGAAACAAGATTTGGAGGGAGGGAAAGGGAAAGAGAGAGAAAAGGAGAGAGGCCCCCTAATGGTGTGTTCCAGTTTCAGATCTTGCACCAGCTTTGCTCACACTCTCTTCACACTTAGTAGGTCCCCAAATCTGCCTCTCCTCTGGTGCTGCTCCCCCCTTCAGTAACTGGTACCACTCCACCCAATTGCTACACCAGAAACTTAAGAGTATCCTTAACACCACTCCCTCTTTTACCCCTCATATACAGTCCCTGTTGTTTCCACTCCCAGACCATGTCTTGAATCTCTCCACTTCCCACCATCTCCACATCTCTGACCCTCTAATCCATCAGCAGCTCTCACCTTGACTCCTCTTTCAGGCAGGGTTTCCCTACCACCCCCAGCCCCTTACCTTCACAGCAATGAGAGCAATCTTAAAGTGTCCTGGTGTCATCAGACCTCTGCTATTAATATTCCATGAATTCTCTTCGTTTTCATGATGAAGTTCAAAATCCTTAGCATGGCTACAAGGCCCTGCATGATCTGGCCCCAGCCTGATCTTGAACTACCTTTGCCAGCTGGGCTCCAGCTACACACACGCCTTCTCCCTGCTCCTCTATCACAGGTACTTCTTTGTGCTTCGGGACTTCGGAGTGTGGCCTCAGCGGCTCTCCCCCACTTCTCCCTCCTTCACCTGACTAAATTTGGTCTTCTTCAAGGAGACTTTCTTTACCTGTGCTAGATCCAGTCCCAGCATGGCCATAAACTCCAGGGGGGCAAGGAGGCCCTCCCTGGGAACCACTCGCACCTAGCACAGTACCTGGCACATGCAGATGCTCAACAAATATTATTGCACGAATAAATACATGTATAAATACCCCACCTGGAACATTCCCTCCCATTAGCCAGCCACTTCTATTTCCCCAATTCCAATACTATCAACCTTGCCCTCACTCTTCAAATTTATGATTCTCTGTTTCATCCTTCAGCTCTGGGGAGGGGTCTCTGTGCTCCCAGACATACTCGTATAGGTAGCTTTAAATAGTTACTTTCTGGAGGGGAAAAAAAAAATCTCTGTCCTCTATACCAAGGGGATTAGTTGTAAGAGCAAAACTTTCAGGTCAAGTACGAAACAAACAGCTGTGGAGCC